TTTTCCTGTTCAGCTGGCATGAAGAAAACTCACCCTTAGCAGGTATTGTTTTAACTAAATCATTGTCTCCCCTCACCTCTTTAAGGTGGCTGAGGGCCAGACAAGGCTTTGCCTTTCAAAGGTACTATGGAAAAGAGGTATTGGCGCTATACTGAGAGGCCAGGTGGGGCTTTGGCAGATAGAGGGGTAGGAAAGTGTATTGCTGGTAGAGACTCTAGTCTGCAAGAAACATGATATGTGCAGGTGCCTAAGACAAAGCACACATTCACATCTAATAACCAGACACTTGAGTATTTACCACAGACTGAGAATGGTGGAAAATGCAAGACTGGGTCTCTTTTACTGTATTCCTGCTGTCAATATGGGCAGGCATACCAATGCATACAATGATATCTATATATTGTGAGCACAGCGCTACCACTAGTGGTCACTTCACTTGTAGTGCTCAAATGGGTCAGTGGAAATGTGCTGAGAGAATGGATGTGTGTTCTGTGAGCTGATATGTGTGTTCAGAAGAAAGACTGAGCAAATAAGCAAAGCTCCTCAAACTCTGCCAAGCCAAGTGGATAAGGTGGAAAACAGATGTCCTTCAGCTGACCAGGTAGAGAAGACTTCCAGGATGGTGGTACAAGTTGAGACTGGAAACAGGAGTGAGAAACACTAAGAAAAGCAGGAAGGGGGTATTCCTGGTAGAACAGTGAAAAAGCCCCAAGATCAGTGGTTCAGAGGGAAATAAGGCTAGGGAGAAGATAATGTAGGATTGAATGTAGCCAAGGAAGATGAGCTGAGCCTGTTGGTTCCCAGGTGGTAAGGTCTGAGAAATAACTAGCTGTTTCTGCCGAGGCCTGTCTGGCCCTATGAAGCAGGAAGGTAGGATGTAGGGTCCTACCCCCCTTGTAGACCTGACATCCCACTAAAGTAGTGCAGCGGGCCTGGGGGCAGCTGTGGCCAGGTGATGGAGGAATTTCTACAGTAATGGGGCTGGGCCTAGCTTTTTATCTCAAGATACAGAGAAACAATCAAGTTCTACTGAAATAATGAACAGTCCCAACACTTTCAGTCATTAAATATGTAATTTAGAAACACAACATCCTTCTTGTGCTATTTGTCTGGAAGTGGTGACCTCTTTGAGACAGGCTTGTTAGTTAAGACATGAGTCGTTGTTGCAGTCTGCCTGAGTTATAGGAGGCTGGGTTTATTGTGGGACTTGTAGCAGAACTAAAGGGCCAGATGTAGGTGTGCAGATCATTTTTGTGGGGGAAGAAGCACTGTGCCCAAAGTATCCTGTATCATTTGCCTATGGTTGCTATGAAAATTATTGACACACACACACACTATTTTTTAGAACTAAGTGGATCAAAACCATGCATATTTATTATCTTACAGTTCTGTAGGCTGGGAGTCTTACCCATGTCTCACCCATGTATGAGCAGGGCTAGTTTCCTCTGGGTCCCCAGAGAAGAATCTCTTACCTTTTCCAGTTTGTACAGGTCTTTTACATTCTTTGGCTTAAGGTTCCTTCCATCTTCAGAGCTCACAAAGGCCAGGCTAGTGTTTTCTCATGTTTCCTTACTCAGATCTGATGCTTCTACCTTCCTTGGTTCCATTGGACCAATTATTGATAGTTTTTGTGTTGCTAAGACAAAATTCCTGCCAGAAATAGCACAAGGAAAGATTTATTGTGGTTCAAGGTTTCAGAGGATCAGTCCCTAGATGGTCTTAAATGTGTTGAAGTTGACAATGATTACCCCTTTGGGTAATTTAAGAAAATGTCTCTTTTGTTGCCTGTAATTCTTTCTTTAATCTTACCCCACTCCATGTTATTTAATATATTCACAGATTCTCAGGATTATGATATTTTTAAGGAACATTATTCTGTCTTCCACAATTTGT